GGAGGAAAGGTTTGCTTTCCTGGCCTGTTTGAATATGCTGCCCATAAGATAGTCAGTGTGTTCAGTTCCTCAGAGATGTGACTGTGATTGCTCTGGTGTCTCCCTCAGGACTGGATGCTCCAAGGGATTTAAGTGCCACTGAGGTTCAGTCAGAAACAGCTCTGATGTCTTGGAGGCCTCCACGTGCTCCAGTCACTGGGTATCTCCTGATTTACGAGTCCATTGATGGCAGAGTCAAGGTACAGCACTGGCAACCAAACCAGAGGGGTTTTGCCTCAAAACTGGGCAGCAGAAATGCTCTGAAGTGTCCAGCAATGAGCCATAACCACGTGCCTTAAATTAAATATAGTAAAATGCTAATTATCTCTTTCAGGGCCAGACTGAACACAAATGCATTTAGAACCTGCTTAAATACTTTCCTACATTATTCCCTGGAACGGGAGCTGAATTTTGACACTCATCTCTCCACAATGCAGATAAAAGCACAAACAAGGGTTTTCCCTCATTCCAAACCTGTGTCATGGAATAAACTCACACACCCCAGAGGATGGCATTCCCCTTTCTAAACTCAGGAGGATCCATCCCTGGGGTCTTCTAAGGCAGGATGAGTCACCTTTGGAAGTGCCTCTTGTTCTCCAATGATTTGATTCTGTTCCTACATAATTAGATTACACAAAGTGATCAATTATGAACCAGGTGAATTCCAAGGAAAAAACCACCCAATTTTGGATGCCCAACCTCATACCTCAGAGACAGTTCTGAATTCCAGGAAGGCAAATTCCCTAAGCACTCTGCACATCAGTCTTTTACTGTGAGAGAAAAGCAGCCTTTGGAGGACTGGAGTGTGACATTTCCTTGTCCTAAAGGATGATTCTTCCCAATTTTTTATGAGTTTGCACATTCAAGGCATGTAAACATTCCTGCTGCCTTGCTTTTAAACCACACAGCTCGTGTGTTATGATGGAAAAGACTGATTTCCAGGCAACTTCTACTGAACTTTTAGGGAAAGTCAGCTTGATAAAAATCTAAGAGGAATGAGTTTGTATTAATAGTTTTGTATCGATAGATTTGTGCTAATTAACCTAGATGGTTAAAAATACCATAAATAATTGCCACAAAAAATGATGTGACAGCCTAAAATATGTAACCATTCTGGTCATTTTACTTTTCATTCTCTGAGATCTCTCTGTATTATTTTTCCTCTCCCTAGGAAGTCATCCTAAATCCTGATACAACTTCCTACAGCCTGGCAGAGCTGAGCCCATCCAGTCAGTACACAGTGAAACTCCAGGCCTTAAATGGATCCCTGAGGAGCAAAACAATCCAGACTGTTTTCACCACAAGTAAGGACTTTAGAGCACATGCACAGCTGAAATAATCTAAATTACTGCTCTCAGGACAGAACTGAGCTCTGCAATAAGGACAAACAGACCTCTTAGAAGAGTTTAATCCTATTTTTATTATGCACTTGTAGTGTTGGTGCAAAGTCTCTAAAGTTCCCCCTGAGTTGTCATCTGCTTTTCCCAGACTGGCAGGATGAAATTCTTTACTAATGTTCACCCTCATCACCTCTCTCTGATGAAACATCCTGCCTTTCCCATGGAAAATATCAAAAGGAACTCTTTAAAATCCAGCTGACACCCTGATTTGCCTCTGAGCTGTGAAAACAAATCAGAGTTTTGAGCTGCAGTGAAGCAAACCACGAACACAAGTGAGCTCAGTGATCTGAGGAGATGAATTTCTGGGCAGTTTGTCCTCCTCTTTCTGGGATGGGTTTGTCTCAAAGCCACACTGCTCCAGCCCTAACAGGACAGCTCTCCAGGGAGCTGGATGCAGGAATAAATTGGTTTCTCTGAAGGTCACTTCCCAGCTGACACTGAGAAAAAGGAGCTGTTCTGTATTAGCTGTGACACTCTGCCTGTCATTTGTCTCACTTTTCACAGTTTCCAGCCTTCCAGGCCCAGCAGGACCTTCAGCCATTCCCATTCCCCCTCCTCCTGCTCGTACCAGCCTCAGCCCAAGGACTGATGAAGTGCTGATAAAAGTCACCCAGCCCAAGTGTGCTCAGTCACTGCTTGTGTAGAGCAGGAGGAGCTCCACCAAGAGCCCCCAGTGCACAGAAATAGGAGGAGAATTAAATCTGGGGCCATTTAGCTGATGTTTGGTAAATTGACCACAAGCAGGGACTGACCAGGGGGACTTCAGGCAGGTGCTTAAGCCTGGCCTAAACTCTAAACATGCATTTGTGTGCTCATTAGTGAGAGGGAAGCACTGAAGCAGCTCCCTGCAGAGCCACTTCCCTCCAAATCCCAGCGGTGGTGGGAACTTGCCCAGCCTCAAGTCGCACCAGGGGAGGTTTGGATTCACTCTTAGGAAAAATTTCTTCATGGAAAGGGTTGTAAAGCTTTGGACCAGCCTGCCCAGGGAAGTGGTGGAGTCACCATCCCTGGAAGTGTTCAGAAAATGTGTGGATGTGGCACTTGGGGCCATGGGTTAGTGGTGAACACAGTGGTGGTTCTGGGTTGACAATTGGACTTAATGATCTTAAAGGTCTTTTCCAACCTTAACAATTCTATGATTCTCTGAAATTCTCTGTAGCTGAGGAACAGGCAGGGAAGGGCAACACACTGGAAAGGACCAACAGCCACTGTGTGAGCAGCCACAGTTAAAACCTCTTCTGTGTAACATCACTTAATGGAACCATTGGCTGAGACAGTTAATGGCCTGAGAGAATTGAAAAAGAAAAAAACTAAAGCTTTTTTGGGGTTTAGAAATCGTTCTGACTGCAGTGATGCTCTTGGCTCATTGTCAGAAAGAAATACTTAACATTTCCCTGTAATTTCAACTCTTACTTGGGTTTTTAAAGCTCAGTTTTATATCATATTTAGTACTGTGCTTGCTAGCAAAATACTCCCAATTAATTTATTTTTGGTTGAAAGCTTGTCTTTATATTCCCCCTCCCTTTTCTGTCCCGTGATCAGAGATTGGTGGGTTTGGTTTAACCCAGAAGTTGCTGTACCAGAGCTGAGGACATTTCAGTGTTTAGCTGGAGATGCACTCCCTCCTCGTAGGGACTCACCTGGCATTCCCAGCACTTCCCAAAGTGCAGACAGATGGGCCAAAGAACATCCAAAAGAAAAATTTACATCATCTACTGTTTCCTGTGAATGTTTTATAGGATGTAATCATAAACCTGCTTCCAGGTTCTGTTCCTGACTGTACCATTGACCCACAGTGGATTTTCCTCATCTGTATTAGAAATTCCTCGTAACTGCTGATTTTTTTTAAGCACTGCTCTGTCTTTTCTCATGTGTGCAGCTGGGCTGCTCTACCCTTACCCCAAGGACTGCTCCCAGGCCCTCCTGAATGGAGAAGCCACCTCTGGGCTCTACACAATTTATGTGAACGGGGACAAGGCTCAACCTCTGCAGGTCTTCTGTGACATGGGCGAGGACGGGGGCGGATGGATTGTGAGTATTGGGCAGCAGATCCCACCCTGCTCATCTGGGGCATCCCTCAGAGTGTTTATTTGATCAGAGTAGGGCTCACTTGTCTCTAAATCCGGGGAATTTTATCCTAAAACAAGGTTACTAGCTCTTCCTGTAGCTGGAGGAGAGAGAGGTGTCTCCAAAGGATGGGTCACATCAGTGGTTCCAGCACCTTGGAAAGGCACTGATCCCTCTCCACTGGCTACAGGGGCTGCTGGAATGACCATCTTAGATTGATACACACCTTCTAAATAGTTAACTAGGTGAGGGGAGGGTGAACTGACTCTATTTGGATGAGAGACAGAGTGAAGGAGGTTAAAGCACAAGCCAGAGGAACATTTGTTCAGCACGTGGAGTGGTGGCCAACAAGTCTTCCCAGGCCACTGTACAAGGGATAGTAAATGAATGGCATTAAAAATATACTGATATCCTCAAACCTGAACGTGCCAGAGGGACCCAGGGCACAGGAAGGAAAAAGGAGCTGGAGAAATGCATGGCTAGGAGAGAGGGAATGGAGAAATCCTTGGCCGGGGAACACAGAACTGCAAGAGGTTGTTAAAAGGGCAGAGAGCAGGAACTGAAAGGCAACATCATATATGGGAGCCTGGGAAGCCATCAGAGAAACCCAACAGAGAAACCAGAGACAAAAAACCCAAGGAGCATCCAACAGTCTGGGTATAATTCAGTAATTTCAGTGAGACTCTGCTTTGGGTGGTATAAGAAGGGGGAAAGGAGTGTGAAGTTCTGTGTTTGTGAAAGCCCCAGGGCTTGTCCCCTCTCTGCCCAGGGCAGTCTGTCCATGACACTCGTTCCATGTGGGGTTGTAGGTGTTCCTGAGGCGTCAGAACGGGAAGGAAGATTTCTACAAGAACTGGAAGACTTACGTGGCAGGTTTTGGAGATCCCAAGGATGAATTCTGGATAGGTGAGTGGCAAGAATTTGTCTTTTTTTTTAATTAAAAAAGCCCCAAAGATTAGGAACCACTTAGAATCTTCCATTTAGCTGGCAAGAGTCTTTGTAAAGGGGAATATGGTCTGGGGGAAGGAGGACAGGGAGATCCTCTGTGAGGTGGACTGAGGTCCAAACCTGTCCCTGCCACTGCAGTTCAGAGATGTCGTGTTTGGGTCACCAAAGGTACCCACCCAATGCCCACTGGTGCTCTGGAAGAAATCACAGGTGACCTGAGAAGCAACTGCAAACCACCTTCTTCCTGTGCTCCTGGGACACCCCCAGCAGCAAAACCCTGTGATTCAGAGGAGCCAGGCATGGAAAATAGATGTGGAAAACCAACGTTTTGTGAAAATAGAAGTGAAACCCCCACATTTGGGAAAATAGAAGTAAAAACCCCCCACATTTTGGAAAATAGAAGTAAAAATCCTACATTTTGGGAAAATAGAAGTAAAACCCCCACATTTCAAAGGTTGTGCTGCATTTTATTTGGTTGTCAGTGAAAGATAATGATGATCACACAAAACAATTTTGGTTGCTTTTCCCAGTGATCTTCCTGCTTCTCTGGCTGCAAGATAAGAGCTCTCTCAGTCAGCCTGGGTTTGTTTATTTGCTTTTGTGCTGACACCCCCCTCCAGCTGAACTTTCCTCCCCGGTGTTGAAAGTTCAGTCCTCACCTGCTTTATTTCTATAGCCCACTCTACTCCCATTTATGGGATGGCAGAGACACAAACACAGAAGGACAAACAAACCGTGCTTCTGAATCAGAGAAGCCAAGCAGAAAAAACAGAGGTAGAAAGCCAACATTTTGGAAAATAGAAGTGAAAAAAAAAAACCATTTCTGAAGGTTGTGCTGCATTTTATTTGATTGTCAATGAAAGAAAATGATGATCACACAGCACGACTTTGGATGCTTTTCCCAACGAGCTTCCTGCTCCAGTGATTGCAAGTTAAGAGGTCTCTCAGTCAGCCTGGGTTTATTTATTGAAAGGGAAGGGGTCTCTCAGTCAGCCTGGGTTTATTTATTGAAAAGGAAGGGGTCTCTCAGTCAGCCTGGAGTTGTTTATTGAAAGGGAAGGGGTCTCTCAGTCAGCCTGGGGTTGTTTATTGAAAGGGAATTGTTTATTGAAAAGGAAGGGGTCTCTCAGTCAGCCTGGATTTATTTATTGAAAGGGAAGGGTCTCTCAGTCAGCCTGGAGTTGTTTATTGAAAGGGAAGGGGTCTCTCAGTCAGCCTGGATTTATTTATTGAAAAGGAAGGGGTCTCTCAGTCAGCCTGGAGTTGTTTATTGAAAGGGAAGGGGTCTCTCAGTCAGCCTGGATTTATTTATTTGCTTTTGTGCTGACACCACACCCTCCAGCTGAACTTCCCTCCCCGGTGTTTGTGCCCTGCCTTCTTTCTGCAGCCCGTTTATGGGAGGACCCGATGGCAGAGAAACAAACACAGGGAGACAAACAAACTGCTCCTTTTTGTCCACAGGCCTGGAGAACCTGCACAAAATCACTTCTCAGGGGCAGTACGAGCTGCGTGTGGACCTGAGGGACAAGGGGGACACAGCCTATGCTGTCTATGACAGGTTCAGTGTGGGGGATGCCAAGAGCAGGTACCGCCTCAGAGTGGATGGGTACAGTGGCACAGCAGGTGAGAGCAAATATTGATCTTTTTCCCTTCTCGTTTATGATTTCTCCCCCACTGACTCTGTAATTGTGGGTGTGTTGATCAGTTCACAGCAGGTACCTTTTCTCTGTGCCAGGTGTTTGAAAATAGGGATGTATCAATGTGGTTTATGTTTCCATTTTAAACCCTCCAGTCATTTGGGTGCCGCATTTCATGCCATGCTTGTGACAGGATTTAAACAAGTATATTAAACCACAGGATGTATCTCATCTGGCCAATCTTGACTCTCCTCTATGATATTGATTGTTTTACTTCTCCTTTATGATTTTCTCCCCATTGGCTCATGGTAACTGTGTGTATGATAATCACCATCACAGCAGGTACCTCCTCTGTGTTAGGTGTTCCAAAATATCAGTATATTTTATGTTTCCATTTTAAATCCTCCAGTCATTTCAATGCCACATTTCATGCCATGCTTGTGACAGCATTTAAACAAGTATATTAAACCACAGTATATCTCATTTGGCCAATCTTGACTGTCATTTATACAGCCAATAATAGCTTGGCACAGCCTCATTCCTTGCCAGTAGAATTTGCAGCAAAGTCCTGCTATAACATGATTTATAATTTTGCTGAACAAATCAGCTGCCTTTTGTAATCATGCTGGGGCAAACCCTGCAGCCCTTACTGAGTCCTCTTCAGGGCTTCAGAGGATTAAGAGATAAATCCAGTTTCACAACCTGTCTTAAAAGGAGATAATTTCACGCTGCTGGTGCAGAGATGTGTGTGGGCTCTGCCCTGTGACCAGCACAGGAACTTTGTGCACAGACTGTAGAGATACAAATGATATGAAGCAGGAGAATTAATGTCTGTTTAGTTTAGGTGGGATATTGGGAAGAACTCCTTCCCTGGGAGGGTGGGGAGGCCCTGGCACAGGTTGCCCAGAGAAGCTGTGGCTGCCCCAGCCCTGCAAGTGTCCAAGGCCAGGTTGGATGGGGCTTGGAGCAACCTGGGCTAGTGGAAGGTGTCCCTGCCCATGGCAGGGGGTGGGACTGGATGATCTTTCAGGTCCCTTCCAACCCAAACCATTCCAAGATTCTATGATTTAAGGCAAATACACTGGTGCAGGTTGGTAGTACCTGCTACAGCTAGTAGGGTTTGATCAATGTGGAGACTCCTTTGGTCTTGATTCCCTCCTTGTGACTTGCTCTGTCCACACTGTACAGGGCCAAAATCCAACTTCCAACTGAGCTGCATAAAAACAAAAACCCACTTGATATGTTCGGGGTTAGAAACCCCCTGGAAAAATATTTTGATTTGCCTGCGACGACAAAAATTGTGTATTTCCTTCTGTATTAAAACAAGGCCAGTTTTAAAAACTTAAATACACTTTCATGATTTAGGCAGTGCATGGCACAGTCCAAACATTTGCTCCAGAATGGGCATTCCCATGAAAAACCAGGCAAAACACTGACCTTGCTCTTTCATCTCCTCCCATCCAGGTGACTCCATGACCTACCACAATGGAAGGTCCTTCTCCACCTTTGACAAGGACCATGATTCTGCCATCACCAACTGTGCTTTGTCATACAAAGGTGCTTTCTGGTACAAGAACTGCCACCGGGTCAATCTGATGGGCAGATATGGGGACAACAGCCACAGTCAGGTGAGTTTGGGGTTGGAAGCTTCTGTAATCCATGAGAAAAAGGAGAATTGCAATAATGGACCCGTCTGATGGTTCAGCCAGATGTCAGAGCACCAACCCATTCTCCAGGATCATAGAGAAATAGATGGGCAGTTGCTCACAAAATAAGGATTTAACATCAGCTGTTGAAATATTGATGTTTTTTGTCTGAGTTCCCAAGGGAATATCCCAATGTGCAGGGAACAATTCGAGTTTTCAACATGTGAAACAAAATGTTCTTCCTGCCCTGAAAGCCAGGCAAGGAGGGACAGCTCTGGGGGGCAGAGGTTTAACAGGACCAAGCTCAAGGTGCTGCACCTGGTCCAGGGCAACCCCTGGGTCAATCCAGGCTGGGGATGAGCAGATGGAGCAGCCCTGGGAGAAGGACTTGGAGGGGCTGGTGGGGGACAGGCTGGACATGGCCCAGCCCAGAACCCCCCGTGCCCTGGGCTGATCCCCCAGCGTGGGCAGCAGGGTAGGGGGGGATTCTGCCCCTCTGCCCCTCAGGGGAGACCCCCCTGCAGAGCTGCTCCAGCCCTGGGAACAGCACAG